TTTTAGGAGAAAGCTTATATTAAACATAAGACATTAACATTAATATAAGGACAAAAGCTGTCAAAAGGATGATCTGATTTGAGGGCAAATGAGTGGTACCAGATATTAAATACCAAAAGTTCAGAAATTTGAGAGGGGAAAGGAAAATATACATATTAATTCTGTGCTGTGTGTGAGGACCAAGGTAGGCACTTGGTGTAGAATAAGTGCCCTCACTTCATGAAGTGGTAACATCACGCCCATTTTATAGATGAAAAAATATAATGAACATGTACAAAAAATGTGCATAACCATGATTTAAACTCCAATTCGTTTTACTACAAAGCCAATTCTCTTAATGCAACTTTCTAATAAACCATGATCTGGGTAGTCATCAATGACTTTAGAGGAAGGAAGGCTTGAACTGAGTCAAGATATTTGAAATGGCTGAGAAACTGGGGAATTTATTCCTGGTGGCAAATGAGGGAAAGACAGAAGAGGAGCTCCAAAGATGAAAGTTAACTTGGTGGAGGGCCTGAGGAAAGTCATATAGCATGAAGAGGGAAATGGTACAATGGCTGTGAGTCACAGTAGAGCATAGGACATTTGAGAAACTTCTCTTAATTGAGTGGGGCAACTGCTTAGAGAGCTAGAGGACATGTGGTGGCTGAGGGAGCTGGGCTACAGTAGATGCAGGATAAAGAGAAAGCACTAAACCACAGATGATGCAGATCCTTTCTAGTTATAGAACCATTTAAGATGAGGTTCCTGTCTTCCCCCATCTTTCTTTAAAAGTCTGCTCTGTTCTGGTTCATCCGTTTCTCTCTGACAGCATAAACTTCTGGAAAGAGAGAATCAAAATTGGTAGTTTCATCACACCCAGTGGTAGTTGACTGATAGGTCCTTGTGAATACTAGCAACTGCGGTACTCACTTGTGCTGCACACTGATCAAAATAGCCTTCAGTCACATGGCCATTTATTAGAAGAATATATAAACAAATGGCGACTGTGAGTTAATGCAGTGGATTGTAGTCAGTTTGAACCACAAGGTAAGATTATCATTGTCGAGAATTCCTGTGTGCCAGGTGCTGAATCCATAAAGATAAAAATACTGTTTCTGTTCATAAGCAGCTCATAGTTTGTATGTAAAAGACAAAGAAGTAAACAAGTCTCTATGGTATTTAATGATCCATACTATAATAGATGTAAGGAGCTCTGGTAGAGTAGTGGTTACGAATCGGGCTGCGAACCTTAAGGTCAGCGGTTCGAAAC